ACGAAACGTGTAGTAAATTGACGTGCATCATGTAGGATATTTTCACGGTTTTTCATGTTTTATTCCTTTTTGGCTGGTCATCTTTATCTTGCTGCATTTATGTTGTTCCATCGGCCGGTGAAAAGAAGTGTCATAGCGCCATCCAGCTTCCACGACCGCCCAGTGTTGAGCTGGCGTCGCCAGAGAAGCGAGTCCAAGGTCGCCCGAAGCTCGCGGCGACAAAGTCCGTCAATTGACGGTGTGAATCCAGGTCTCAACCTAAATGTTATTTATGGATTTATTCTTTTATTTTCAGTATGTTATAAGTCCTCCTCATTCTGATACTGAATTGATATGTCACGAATGAAAGTAGAATTCTATAAACCTCCTAAACCTATGAGTATGACAGAAATACTGAAATGAAGCCTAAAATGTCCGGGCGCACGAATGGTCAACTAAACTCATTCTCAAGGTCGCGCTTAGCAAAATGCGATGACGTAATAGCTGTTTGCTCGACCGCTAGCTTCATTCAGCCTTTTGATTAGGACTGGTCAGTTCAGTTGGCTAGCAAACACACGTCACACAACACATTGGAAGTCCTGCTTTGTGAGCGAATGACCGTCGTCTTTACTTCATGTTTCTCTTGCTCTTCGCGAGCTTGTGTTGGTGGACTTGGCATTGAGTTCAATTTTGTGATTCAATTTGCAGTTCATTTCCTAGCTTCTTCTGAAGTTCTAAGAAAATGTGTTTTTAGTCTGTTTTCAGCCAATTTACTACAACTAAAAATCGCTTTCAGGAGGAGAAACTAATATTGTAAGAGCAGCAAGTATCATTTCCATATTTTGTTGGCGACTGCAAATTAAGAGGTGATCTTGTGACTGAGCCTAGCCTGGATTTAGATGAAATAAGATTCTTTGTCAGCTATATTTACAGGTAAAGCGACTCTTCATTAATTCGAAAAAGATAGTAATTTAAGATGTTAGGAATATTATGTTGTGTATAGACCATGGATTTAGGTATGATTTAACATGATTCTTTTTTTAAAATAAAGAATTGATATTGATCATTCTATGATACATCTTATCGACTTAGTTACCATGCATTGTTGTGTGATTTTTTTCTACGTTGCATTATATATATATATTTAATTTAAACATTGAAATATGACAACGAAACCCGGATTGAGAAGATCCATTAGTCGGAAACTGCACGCATTTTTATATTTTGAAGTTTCTGTCGTAAAAAATATGTCTTTCAGTTGTAAAAATTGACTGTGTTGTTGATAAAATGTTGATGATTATTTTGGTTGCCCCAGAAGTAGATTATGTTTAATGGTAATATTTTCTTTAATGAATAGGCCTATGAGCACATGAGGGAGGCAATTCGTAAGGGGTAAATTTTATTAACGTCAAGAATCATTTTTATTAACTTGATTAGATATGTTCTGATTGGTGTTGTCATTTGATTATCAATAAAACTACATCAGCTTTTTCATCATCTCTACCACTATAATGACACCTATAATGACTCTGACTGATCAGTGAAGGTGTTGGATGATTTAATTTCAGAAATAACATTTATTCAACGTTTAATTTAAATTGTGACAGTACTTTTAATCATGGCAAATAAAGCCCGTATGGAGGGGGGAGTCTCGGGCTCACTTCCACCACCGACCCACGCCTCATTCTCCAGCCAGCCCCCATGGCGGCGCTGTACCCCGCGCGCTGAGCAAACTCCGAACCTCTCCGCTCGGAACCCGTCGATCGGGTTTGGGAGGGGGAAGTGGAGGCGGGCTTGCAGAATTGAAATACCGATTTTCCATCACCAAATTTTCACTTTGATCCCTAAATTAGTTGTTCTGATTGAATTACTTTTATTATTTCTTCAATTGTTAAGGGATTTTTCAGGCTCTACCCTTTTTATTTTTATCAATTATTGAAGTTCGTCTTTAAAATAACCGCGCGAAGAATTGCATTATTTATGATTTTATATCCTATCCGCATTACGCTTGCTTCAACTTCAAGTGCCAATATAATTCTGTAATTTGGTCGTCTCTCAGATATCAATAATTCACTTTTATACTCCTGAAGAAAGAGACATAGCTCTTAAGTTATTGCTCATATTTATATTTTTATAGCCTAACATAATTTTGTATCGTTATAGGCTACTATCTCCATGTCCCTTGTCTGTGGATAATTATAATTGATGCCGAAATTGCCGATGATCTATTTTGTTCTAGCATTTAATACTCCTCAATTTTTTTCTTCAAATATTTACATGATAATTTCGTTTTTCTTATGTGTTTCATCGTTTTTGTAGTCACTTTCGACTTTGATGTTATTTTGACTCTGCATGATTAATATGTTTTTTTTAAAGTTCCATTTATATATTTTAATTACATCGGTTTCAAGTACAGTCCCAATCTCATTAATTTGACAGAAATGTCACTTTTAAAAATAGAATTTGAAAATTGAACTACGGTAAACTACATGTATTGTCCGGAAATTTGCAAAGCCAATGACGTAAAAACAAATAGAAGCACGAAAATAAATGGTGCATACATGTATGGATTATGGGAGAGACTTCATTGAAGTATGGCCATTAATAATATTCTCCATAACGATTAATATATATTTTATCTTACAGGGAACTTTTTTCCACAAAGCCATCATATAAAATTATATAGGCATTTAAAAAGTTCTCCTTTTCAGTTTTATTTAAATTATAAAATGTAACATTTTGTATACAGTGTTGAAAATATCATTATTCTGTTATTTTCATTTTGTTGTTGTTTTATGAATGTTTATTTGATTTAATTGTTTATTTATAAAAAATAAAAATAAAAATAAACGATTTACGATTGATCGATTGATATTGTAAAAATATAGGGGTGGTATAAAATCTTTCAACGTGACAGTAATAATCCACCCCAGATTCACCTGCTAATTTCTCATATTACTTATTTTCCGATACATTTTTTTTCATCGATATTTTTTAGTTTCAACCATATATTATTTTGCGAAGGAAAATGTATAACAATGTTTTTCTTCACGCAAACAGTAATCTAATCTTTATAATCTTTGTTTTGTTTTCAAATTAGTTTTCCAAATAAGTTCTGAGAAGTAAGAACCAGTCTTGCATATATTTGCCCTTTTCTAATTGCTTGCGTTTTAAAAACATTTGTTAAAAACAATTATATGAGCTCAATATTCCGTGATCGCGCACTTTTTAGTTCAGTATAGGACATTGGCTTTGGGTGAACTTGTGTTGTTTGGTAAGGCTTTCCGCAGCAGACCTTTCGCTTTTAAGAAGACAAAGTCACTTTTCCTTCCTTTCAAGTTCAATTTGATTTATCCCTGTTTGCTTGATTCGAGTACAAACCGCGAGAATGCTAAAAATAGATATATAGGCCTAGTGATCATGTGAATACGCTACAAAAGGACATTGACAAAAAAAATAAAGCTTCTCAGATTCTTCGTTGCTGAATATTTCTGTAGCAATTAAACCACCGCCGTCATTTAAATCAAAACGATGTATAGGAAAAATATTAGAATTTATCGTCAGAAATGCGGAAATACCGTAATTAAACATGCAAATATTTCATTTTCTGTTCTTCCAGGGCTTTTGTTTTCAAAATCTATGCCAGGAATTTGTCTAGTGCATATTTGTTGCGATTATAATGACGAATTAGATACCGATTGCAAATTCTATTGTTTGAAAGCAAGATATTTACGCGCACCTGTTTCACATCTTTGTGCTGTCGTTTTGAGCGTTTTGCGTCCAGTTGCATCTAGTTTCAGAATGATCAAAGAAAAGCAGAGTCAGATATTGCTCGCGACAACATTTGGCTAGATTGTAAATCCAAACCACATTGTTTTCATTTGCGACCTGCTCATATGGCGGAATATGGCCGGACATTCTTGGCTTCTGAAACGACAGAATCAGGGGGATTTGCAGACGGGGAGTGCAGGGCGGGTGCTGACGCAGTTCATTGACATTACCCCGAACTTGACTTTCTGGGAGGAAAAAGGAGAGAGCTTGTCGCAAATATAGATATAGCGCGGTACTAGTGTTTTCATATACAACAACAAACTAGGTTGTCGGGTCAGGCAGAATAGAATAGAAAGAAAGAAAGAAATATCTTCCAAGCAAACTTCTCCTCCCGATGCATGATCCTGAACTTGTGAAGCTTATGTCTGCCCCTTGCAAAACACATGGGGTACTGTGAAACAGGCGATGACAAAGGTGTTTGAAAATAGAAGAGAATGAAACTAGATCAATTTATTTTTCCTGTTTTGGAATTCGTGACGGGGACGGCGAGTGGACTTTGTAACTCCATCATATTGTGCTGCTAATGATTGTGGTCACCGTATTCAGAGTGAGAAATTAATATATACCTCTAGTGAAATATGATTATTGAGCTGGAGTTTTTGTGGGGTGGATTGGTACCTCATCGACTGTCAAATATAGGGGATAACTCATTCTTTAGAGGGGAAATTACAGGTATTGTTGGTGGGAAAAATATTTTCTTTCCGATTTATTTTGGAAATTACTTCCAGAAGCCAATGATTATGGTCTTTGTTCATGCTCTAATTCTCGTATGCCTTGATCAAACGATCTTACCAAAATGATTTTACGAGAGACTGGTGTCCTGGTATTTGTTGTTTCGAGAGAGAAGGGTTGGGTTAATTTGAGGCTGCCAAACCACTAGCTTTTACTACTTTATTCTTTCAGAGTTGGGATAATGAATGACGTGATACAGCACTTAAACTTTCAAGATTTATAGAAAATTGTTTGCAGAATAGAAGCCTTATTTGGTCTAATTCGAGATGTTTTTGTATGGCTGCTTCCTTTGCTTGTTTTGATCTCGTTCAGGTGATTGGAACCTGGGAAGATTTAAACCTGCTGGGTTATTTTGGTTGTGCTTTGTTTTCAAGGCTTCACATGTTATTTTTCAAAATATTATTCTTTATATGTAAATTCTGACAATTTTTCTTTTGTTTTGTGATATTTTTTTATAGGTTGAGCCAGGATGGTGGATATTTCTGAGGTACCCCTAACTCCGAATAAACTTTCACCTCTAAGTGATGTCAGCAACAACAACGAAGAAGATCCCTCGGTCTTGAAGCTTCCACCCTCCAAGAGATGGAGAGGAACATTTCACAACAATAACAACAACAGCAGCAGATGCAGTGACCTTGAAGCTCTGTCACCTTCAGTAGCACAGAAAGACTCTTTTTCACCAGAAGCACAGAGCCAGAACAACATTTGCAGGTCCTCGGCAGACATGGACATACATATTCACCCAGGTCACTTTGACATGGGGATGGGAAAGTTTCCGCATCACATGATGCCTCCGCCGCCCCTCCTGGTCGTCCCGAGCCTCGTCCCTAACCAGCAACAGATGCCCCCAAGAACCCAAGACAGTTTCTTCTTGAAGAGCCATCATGGACCTCACATCACCAGGGTAGAGTCACCGATGTCAGCCCTCAGTCCATTCTCTGCAATGTCCTCGCCGGGTACAACCCCAAGGATGTCTCCTCTTACATCTCTTCCGACACCGGTATCGAACGGCTTCTTGCCGTCGCCTATGACAGCGGGTACTTTCCTCTTCTCTCCTTTCTCGGCTGGTCCGGGAATCTCCACCTCGACAACTCCAACCCACTTCCCATTCCCGCCTCACCTTCCATTCCAAACCCAGCATCTCTTGCGAGAGGCAAACATTGACCCAAAGCTACGGACACAATCAGAGGGGGATGCTGCATCCCTCAAGTCCTCAGGATTGGACAGTCAAGGCCATAGTGAAGAGAGCAATTCAGATGAGGACGAGTCTCTGATGCTCTGCAGCATATGCTGCGACAAAGCCACAGGGCTTCACTATGGTATAATCACATGCGAAGGTTGCAAAGGATTCTTCAAGAGGACAGTTCAGAACAAACGTGTGTACACATGTGTGGGAAATGGACAATGTGAAGTGACAAAGGCACAAAGGAATCGATGCCAGTACTGCCGCTTTCAGAAATGTCTTCATATGGGCATGATGCTTGAAGGTAAGTTTCTTGATAAAGTGAATTTAACAAAATCCTGCAGGTAACAAGTGTTCTATGTTTTTATTTGCTTACTATTTTGGGGGATAAATTGGTTCAAATTTGTTGCTTGGGTTTCAAGCATTACTGGTTAGGCCTAATCATTTGAAGTAACCTAAAAAATTGAGTAATTTATTACAACATTCAAATGCTAATGGACGCTGAATTATGTTGTGTAATAAATAATAATAAAAGAAGTTTATTAAGAGCTAGCTTAAGAATGACTTCTCGCAGGCTACATTTCTGTTAAAATTCATCCTCATTGCTAGTTGCACATACATGTACACATAGCACACATTATGTGTGTGTGAGTATTGTACTAAGCGTCTGTGCTTAGAGCCTAAGCTTTACAGAAAGCGGCTCGGGAGGAAAATGATTTTGAGAACGAGATTACCTCTACAACTAGGCTAATTTTAGTTCATCTGACTGAGACTGAGTCACAATTATGAATATTCATGTTCAGTCATCTCTAGTAGCTTGATTTGTCTTTGATATCATACATCTTTGTTCTTTCTCAATATTGGGGAATTTTTTTTTGTAGGTTGTCAGTGTTTGTGATTTTTAGATATTCTGTTTTGATTTGATTTTCCACTTTATATTTGTTCTGTGAATGAGTAATAATGAGTTGTGATTTGTAATTATGTTGTGGCTAGTTGTCAAATGGATATGTGGAATCATGTGTAGCGAAGTAGAGATATCTCCCTTTAAACCAGGTAACCCCCACCTCTCTCTCTCTCTCTCTCTTTTATTGCATCTCTCTCTCTTTTATTGCATCATCCTCTCGACTGGAGGTCAGCAAACTACAGTGAGACGATACCCTCTCTCTCTCTCTCTCTCTCTCTCTCTCTCTTTCCCTCTCCTATTTCATCATCTTTCTTCCTAACTGAGGTCAGCGAACTACAGTGAGATGATACCTGGTCATTTTCCACTGGTCCAAAGATTCCAAGAATAGGATGTTTGAAGACAAAGCTCATATTCAACCAGTGTTTGTGTTGACTGATTATAAACAGGCAAATAGTGGGAAAACAGGCAAATTAATTATCCCTCTGCATACCAGTTTGAGCTGGAAGACAAAACATTTGTTTTCTGAGTAAAGGAGCTGAGTCACCAAAGAAAGTAGTAGCAGGAATATCCCCAACTGACCAATGAGCATTTGTATTTTCTACTCCTTCCCCTTATTTTTACTTTTGCCCAATCATAATGTTAGGATTAATGGTTCAGGAACACTGTTTGAGTGTCCATCGAGTATTATGCCCGCCCAGTCACCTACAGTAATAATAATGAAATAGTTAAGTTTAGGGTAAGAATATTTTGTAGGAGGAGATCTCAGAATCGAGATTGTGAATATGTAATTAGGTATAAAACCCCCATCCCCTGCATGAAACCCTCACTTGGAACCCCATCACTTGGAATCCTCACTTGGAACCCCCGCACTTGGAAACCCCCACCTGGAACCTCCTCATCCGAAACCCTTCTCCTGCTAATACATCTTTAATAATCATCAGTGCTTCAAATATCCAGTATACAACATACTTCAAGATTTGTACGTTGGAGAAATATCAGCGAGCAACAGTGTAGACACTTCGAGAGGTTGAGTAAATTCTGAAATACACCTTCCGTATTTTAAAGTCAACTCAATGTCAATTTCGGCTCCAGTCATTTGGGAAAGTGTCTGTTCCACGCTATAAAAGAACTGTATCCAGTTTAGTACAAAGTCACGTCCAGCTTCGTTCCCGTACCCGTCAAGTTCCAGTCCCGCCAAGTCACGTCCAGCTTCGTTCCTGCTATATCCTGTCCAGCTTTGTTCCCGCCAAGTCAAGTTCCTTCAAGTCAAGTTTCTCCAAGTCTCGTCCAAGTTCGTCCCAGTCGCATCCCGTTCCAAGTCAAGTCCTCGATCGAAATATCAGCGAGCTAAGTGGCCATAATTACTAACTTCATTTCCATTAACCTACCCTTTCCCTTCCCCATTAGACTGTAACTAATTAAGTAAGAATTAAGTCGCCCTTTTACTCTTAAGAATACTTTGCAATTATATTTATTGCAACATTTATATATAAGTTGTATGAACTTGACGGGTACGGGAACGAAGCTGGACGTGACTTTGTACTAAACTGGATACAGTTCTTTTATAGCGTGGAACAGACACTTTCCCAAATGACTGGAGCCGAAATTGACATTGAGTTGACTTTAAAATACGGAAGGTGTATTTCAGAATTTACTCAACCTCTCGAAGTGTCTACACTGTTGCTCGCTGATATTTCTCCAACGTACAAATCTTGAAGTATGTTGTATACTGGATATTTGAAGCACTGATGATTATTAAAGATGTATTAGCAGGAGAAGGGTTTCGGATGAGGAGGTTCCAGGTGGGGGTTTCCAAGTGCGGGGGTTCCAAGTGAGGATTCCAAGTGATGGGGTTCCAAGTGAGGGTTTCATGCAGGGGATGGGGGTTTTATACCTAATTACATATTCACAATCTCGATTCTGAGATCTCCTCCTACAAAATATTCTTACCCTAAACTTAACTATTTCATTATTATTACTGTAGGTGACTGGGCGGGCATAATACTCGATGGACACTCAAACAGTGTTCCTGAACCATTAATCCTAACATTATGATTGGGCAAAAGTAAAAATAAGGGGAAGGAGTAGAAAATACAAATGCTCATTGGTCAGTTGGGGATATTCCTGCTACTACTTTCTTTGGTGACTCAGCTCCTTTACTCAGAAAACAAATGTTTTGTCTTCCAGCTCAAACTGGTATGCAGAGGGATAATTAATTTGCCTGTTTTCCCACTATTTGCCTGTTTATAATCAGTCAACACAAACACTGGTTGAATATGAGCTTTGTCTTCAAACATCCTATTCTTGGAATCTTTGGACCAGTGGAAAATGACCAGGTATCATCTCACTGTAGTTCGCTGACCTCAGTTAGGAAGAAAGATGATGAAATAGGAGAGGGAAAGAGAGAGAGAGAGAGAGAGAGAGAGAGAGAGGGTATCGTCTCACTGTAGTTTGCTGACCTCCAGTCGAGAGGATGATGCAATAAAAGAGAGAGAGATGCAATAAAAGAGAGAGAGAGAGAGAGAGGTGGGGGTTACCTGGTTTAAAGGGAGATATCTCTACTTCGCTACATCTTCCCCTTGGCCACTTGAATGGCGACCTCGCCATTCCCAAAAATGGAATATAAAAGAACACACCTCACTTAAGTACAACTGTCTTTCCTATACTTATGGTTTACCAAATGACATCTAAAATACTACTACAACACTCAATTGATGCCTACTGCGCTCATATACAAGATATGAAGGCAATAGCATAAAACACAATTATACTTTATGACCAAAGTATCCTACGTACACAAGTCATGTCCTATTACATAACAACAGAGATTAAACTCCATCTCTAGTTCTCTACAAATCCATCTACAAAAACGTCGGTGCAAACTTAAAATAAATCAAATGCATAGCTAGAATGCAAATAATTACACAAAATAATATCATGTCGGTATATCCTCAGATTCCCAAACAAATTTAAATCAAGCGATATTGTATCAAAGTACAATATATCATAGTATACATCATTTATGACTGTATCTATTAGTGCAAAGATACACAATGTATAATAAGAACTACATCTATTTTACTACTTCTTCCCTACCAATCGACCAAATGTCTCAAATGATTAACCAAATCCACAACTGTCGCCTCAGTCCTGGTACAACTGTTTAATATTCCTTTAATTAATACACCACTTAGCTACGTAAAACATAAACTACAAAAAGAGGAGAAGGATAGTAGAAGAAAGAGAAAAAGGTGATACACTTAACTTCATAGCTTTCCGAACGCACTGTGGTCAATGTAAATAACATTACCCCGATCCAATTACTATGGAATACAAACATAAAACTAAAATGATCAAGCTGTCGGGTGTCTGTTGAACTCCCAACCATAAACAATACTATGCAATCCCCAATTGGGCACACCATGACGGCGTCTAGAGCTCGCGCGAAGCCAAGCCAATGACCACCGGCAATGTTATCAACAAAAATTATACTCATTTAATTAATTGTACATGTACTCCAATACATGACTTCTCGACATACTAGGTTGCATGCACAAGCAATTAAGTGCGAGTGACGCTTCCCTCCGAACTATCCCTAATGATGCTCCGACATCCTATCTTTCCTTCAATAATAATAAAATTAAAATCATTTTCTACATTTACTACAAACAAAATTTAAAAAATTAAGCAACTCGTGTCAGGCAATTTCCACAAACACTATAGGGTTCCATCATGCATTCCGATCCGATGCATAAATGTCAGTTCAGTGCCTAGAGCTTGCAATAAAGCCAAGCTAATGGTCACTAACCATGAAATACAAAATAAACAAATTATGTCCCAATAAACCTCATATTTAATGGAAACATCTTAACCTTCACATAAAATTAAAGTGATAACCTCTTGGCACACACTATAAACTAAGTAAGTGGGGACAACAACAACAACACCTTTTTCACCCAAAGCAGCAACACAATTCTTCACAAAACAAAACGTTATTTATTTATTTTTTTTTTTTTTTTTTTTGTTGTTGTTGTTGATAGATAAGCTTATCCGGTGGGCGCGGGCATCTTTGTGACTGTCTCGGGGGGCAGTCCTCCTCTTCAATTGAGGCGGCCTATTGCTACTCACACGGACGGGTAGGGGATGGGGTAACATCACCTTCCACTTCATCATCATTAACAAAAAAACAACATCAACAAAAATTATCACCACTCATCCTCATCATCTAGTTCAAGTTGCTAAATAATACCTAACCTCGGGATCACGTCATCTACCTTATCATTTTTTCTCTATGGGACAGTCCTTACAATTTCTTCACAATCATCGCTATTCATTATAGGGCCTGGGTTAGACATCTCCAACCTTTCAAAAAAAAATCAAAATCCGAACACTCTGATATT